CTTGGCAGTAGTAAATTCCTGTGATAACATTACTAAATAGGTGAGGTAATGCGTTATATTAGCCTAATGAGTTATTATGAAAAGTAAATACCGACATATTTTGGTGCCTATCTATCTTTGCAGACTGTGGGCGTGTAATGCAACCTCCTGCCACAAAGTGGCACTGTCAGTTATAAGGTTTATTTTCAGAGTAGCAACTTCCTGTCCATCATAAGAAGAAGAACTACCTGTTTTTCCTATATTTTTCTGAATTGTAACAGTATTTATAAGGATGTAATAGCGAATATTACGTCTGTATAAAATAGATGGACTGAGGGTCGCAGCACGGACCCAAAGAAGCAGTTAGGTTAGCTTAGCTTATCGGCGTACGTTTTCTCTTGCTCTATATTTTTAGCATCTAAGTGGCTTCCTGAATGTTTGCTACTATTAGCATTTGGTTTGCTTTTGATTACAGGCTACGACTAGTGTTTCATTCAGCCGTCAGCCTGCTGAATGGATGTTAACGTTATTGATTTACTTGGGGATTATTTCTATTTTAAAACCAGCTGACATAGTTATGCCGCTACGAACTGAATTTAATCTGACTTGCATCTGATGTCGGCTCTCGGATGTTAAGGTAACAATGCCACTCGCTCCTGCAAACCAATCCCAGTTGGTTCGGTCCAGTCAGAAGGATGAATATTATCAAACCTTCCTGAGAAACAAAACCAACGAAGCTGTTCAAACTATTGCTGGTAAGGTTTTTAGTTTAACAGGCAGGGAAACTGCCGTTCGTCTTCTTTATTCTGCTTGCAGCTAGTTTACTTCACTTTAGCACGTGATTTTAGAGCTATAGGTGCAGATTCCTTTCCTAGTGTGGATAATGGCAGAGCACTCAGAAATACCAAACTTTTTTAAGTAGTGATAGCAGAATCGAGGCTCTGGACCGATTTGCTTGCTGTTTGAAAACATTTGAATCACCCCACTTTGCCGACATCTACTGGCTAAATGGGTGTAAATACAATAGAAAGACAAGACATGAACGATAAGGGAGACGCATATTTTGAGTCATTTTCCCAATAATCACTGTGTGTAAATAAATTGACAATAATAAGAGAGCGAATAGGCTATACATATAGGCCGCCTTCTCTAGCAGATGAAGCCTTGAGTGTTTTCAGTGGAGGGTTTATTAAGAAAAACTATTTCCTCAAGTATTTTATAGGCTACTTAGTTTTATTGCTTAAAGCCTCTCCTGCTTTAGAGCTGTAACCTCCAAATCAATCTTTCCAAATATCAAATAGGTTATGTATATGTTTTAATTAAAAACCCAAAAGTCTAGCAGTTTTCATCCTGTTGGTGAGATGTTGCAGGAGATCTATGGGTAACCACAAACACTGACTAAGGATCAGAGGATTAAACCTATTTGATTATCACGTAGTGCAAATGTCAGCTGGCTCAGAATCAGTAATTGCAAATGTTCAGTCTGCTGTCCAGGATTCATCATGAGATTGGCCCCTAGCGGTGACACTACTGAAATTTGAATCATTTCATGGAACGATGTGAAACAGACACGTGACTTGACCACTTTGATACAAGCCTTGGAGCAGTGCTTCAAAATGAAAGTGTGGCAAGTGGTTTGAAGCGTGTCCATATGCTGTTTTGAGTCTGACCATCACTAGTTTTTAGTCACTGATTATAGAACATAACTAGAAATACAGTTACTACACTGTTTAGTCAGTTTACTTTGATTAGTAGTATAGTGGCTCCTGCAGTGAAAATAAGATGTTATGTGTATATTACACAAACAATTTGTCTCTGGTACAGAACCGAAGCAGCTGTCTGTGGTGCTAATTCACACACACTGATGGTGTTGCTGTGCCTGTAAGGGGTTCAGGGTCTTACCTAAAGACATTTGAACAGGTGGACCGGGGAAAAAGGGAATCAAATGGCCGACCTTCTGGTTAGGGGATGACCGCTCTACCTACTGAGCCACAGCCACACTGGAAGTGTGGATTTGGATTTGCCGCTCCCTCTTCGTGGAATAGTTGCCAAGCAGATTTTAAACTTACTGAATTATGCTCAGTTAAAGCTTTTTATTCCCTTATGGCTCTTAGGCAACAGGACTCTATTGGTCAGTGTAGGTGTTTTTAAATTGGTTCTATTGTTGATTATTGTATTTATGGTTTTGATTGTTTAAATGTTTAATGTTTTGATTTGTATTGAAACTTATGTATTGACGACATGTGTTGTTGACCTCTTGGCCAGGTCACCCTTGTAAAAGACATCATGATCTCAATGGGTTTTTTACCTGGTTAAAATAAAGAGAAAGAAAGTAAAGAGAAAGAACTGTAGACTGTGGAAATAAATGTCCAGCAGATTTAAGAGACTAAGCTTTTTGACTATAAATTCTTTTATTATTATTTGTATATTGGATAAATGCAGACTTATTAATTGCTAAAAAGGTGATGTACTGATTCTAACACGGTAAAGGAGGAGGAGTTGTTCAAATCACTCATTCTTTACTGCTAACCAAGGGGCTGTCATCTTTATAGGAAATTCAGCACTTTGTTGAAAGATTGTTAAACTTTTTTTAGGATCCAAAAGATGGCTGGACTGGAGGAAAGAGATAGAGATGCTGTCAGACCTGACATACTATGGTTTAACAACATTCTCAGGTAGTTACCCACCAACCCAACATGAAATGTGTCTTTGCTTAATGCATGTTTAACTGTTTGTATTTTTATAACATCTTGATTTGTATCATCCTCCTCCCCAGGTTACCAAACCCTGGGTGAGGAGTATGTCAGCATCGTCCAGGTCGATCCCACTAAGCGACAGATCCCTTCCCGTGCCAGACGGGGCCTCTTTGTCCTCTGCCATGCCTTCTTGCCTTATCTCCTGGACAAGGTCCTGGTGTGTCTGGAGCATGAGCTGGAGGGTAGACAGGAAAGCCTCAGCGGTGTAAGGCAACAGATGGCACTGGGGCCGTGGAGCCTAGAGTCATGGCTCAGGAGGTGGATGCAGAGAGCACTGAGGTTGTTGTCCGAATCCCAGAGCAGAGCATGCCTGCCGGTCGTGTTTGTCCTCCGACAGGGTTTGACTCTCCTGCATCGATTCCATGTGGCTCTGTTCTACATCAGTGGCTCTTTTTATCACCTCTCCAAGAGGCTGGCTGGGATCAGCTATGTAGGTGATGTTTTTGTATTTTTACTTGTATACATTCATTCCAAAACTTACAAGTTACATAGAATCATGTCAAAAGATAAAGATCATGTCAAATTCAGTCATGTCAGTTTTATACAGGAAACCATGCAGATTTTCCAAACAGTGTCATTTTACCCATATCGCTCTGCTCCCTAAATATGACCTGCTTGTTGTTTTCCAGCTTTAACACATTTAGACCATTAGATGGCAGTTAATGAGTGTACCATATGCTGAGTAGGCAGGGTGACAGACAGTAAAGAATATCTCTGTCCTGAAGAGAGTTTGTTGCCTATATTCCAAGGACCCTTCCATTTCTGTTCAATGTCACACTGCACTTATCTGCCAGTTTAGATTAGTTATGCCTAGATAAACTAACACAGTCTAATGTTTTGTATGGTGATGATTACATATATTCCTAGAGATCCTCAAAACTGATTTTACATCAAATCCATTTAAACTGGCATTCTGTTTGTATAGATGTAATATTTTAAAGGTAGGGTTGGCGATACCTTGAGGAAGCATTTTTTTGTTACATATCTTGAAATTCTCTTTTCATCCCGACGGCGGTGAACACATTAAATGCACTGACAACATAAAGAAAAACATTTATCATTTGTGGCAGCAGGGCTGAAAAAAGCCTGACCAATAATTTTACTTGTCCCAAGCAAAACCATGGACTCCCGCCCTATCAACCTACTTCCTACTTGTGCGCATTCTGCCTGTGCACTCAATGCGTGAGACAAGTCTTCTACAAGGCATTGCAGTTGCAGGCAGACGTGTTACCGCTCTGTTTTACAGCTGAAGTTAGCGAGTTATGGCAGAGAAGGTACCCACAGCAGATTTTGGTCACAAACGGAGACCGTCGTTACAGGCCTGATTTTGATTTTGGTTTTGTTTGGAGGGCATTTTGTATTTTCCTGCAATCTGTAAGCAGTAGTCAGGCAGCGTGCATTGCAGTGTGCGTTGTGGCTTTGGAGAAGTCAGAACAAAAGGGCGGGATTTCTTTGGTTGCCTACTTTCAAAATCGAGCTTCCTCTTGCTGGTTTTTCCAGGATCACCAACCCTACCTTTAAGATATTACCCACATTTTCCAAATGATCTTCATAATGTTGTTTGGTAGTCCTCTTCTGTGCAGATTTCAAACTGTAAGTCTGCATGTGTAGGAACAGATGGTCTCCATACAGTATGTTGGTTTTATTCCACCATGGTATATTATATGTTATATCTGCATTAATGACTCTGTGCCTTTGTATTACTTACATTATGGGGACCGAAACCTGTTAACACACTCACATTGTGGCGACTCACTGAAAATCACTGAATTTTAGGGTGGCAACATGGTTTAAGGTTGGGGTCAGGGTTAAGGTTAGGCAAGTAGCGGTTATGGTTAAGGTTAGGATAAGTCTACAGGAAATGAATGTAAGTCAATGTAATGTGTGTGTGTGTGTATAGCTGCGTGTGATGGGGCAGAACAGTGAAGACAGGACCATCAGGAGCAGCTACAGACTGCTGGGGGCCGTGTCCCTGGTTCAGCTGCTCATCACTCTGTGTCTGCAGCTCAACAACTTCAGGCAGAAACAGAGAGCCAGGCAGGAGTGGAAGCTCTACAGGAACCTCAGGTACAGACCAGGACCAGACTGACAGCCATAGCTCTGCAGATTTGTAGGCTGTCCACACATCTGGTCTTAATATCACAGGAAAATGTTCAGATTTTAACAATTGATTCTTTTTCTCAACTTCCACTGAAGTTAAAAGTGTTTGGGCAGTATTTCAAAAAGTGTCCTTGCCAAAGAATTCATCCTCTTTTAATGTCAAAAGAAATTGTTGATCAGTTGTTGGATCTGTATTCAAAGTCCTTTGGTCAGTTTTTTACTTTTGGTTTGCCAGCACTCGACAGGTGAACCATAAGGACAAGGGGGAATATCTACTGAGGGTTTGTGGTTCATTTTCTGGCACTAACCAGTGAAACTGTGTGTTTATTAAGGGGTGACTGTAGAGAAATTTGCACATTTGGTCCAATGCAATATGTGTTTTAAGGCATTCCCATTCAGAGGCATAACAATCAGGGAGGAGAGAATGGAAATGTATACAGATACGCTCAGTACCATCACTATGACAAAGAGAACTGCAGCTAATATTTAACGTGGAGAAAGCAGGTGTAAAATTTGTAACCCTGCTGTCAGTGTGGCAGCTATTAGTCACGTGAGACGTCATCAGAGTTAAAAACATGTCTGAGGAGGGAGAGGATGTTTGTAAATCTCTTCACTCACCAGAGAAGATGAGGGACTTCACAAGCTTTCAGGTCAAACCAAGCTTCAAATACTGAAGGAAATAAAATATTTGACAGGCAGGAGACTTAAGTGACTGCTGTTCTGAAATGCTTTGGTTGATTTCTTCAACCATATTAAGGTTCAGCTGCAGTAAACCCACTTACTTCTACTGTCCCTCTTGGTCCACCTGTCTGCAGTACGGGCACATCCAGCTGAAGCACATTCAGATTAACACAACTGTGGCTCTGCACATTTACATCAACAGTGTTGGTAAATACGCTGCTAAATTTAAGAACTGTGGTGCCGCAATATTTTCTGCACCTGATGGTAAGTTGCAACCAGTTTAGTAAATATCCCCCCAAATCTTCAATGCTGATTGTACTGTGAAAATGTCCATTTATCACCAACTGTCTAGAAGCGATCACGCCACTGCAGGAGCTACTGGACCTCCTGTAATTGAAGCATTGTAGTAAAAGACCTATTAGATTAACCTGCATGACCTGAACATAATGGTGAACTCTTTGAACTGCCTGTCTCCAGTTCTCAGCACACTCAGAGTTCGAGCCCCAGAGCCGGCCGCTGTATCCTGTGTCTGGAGGAGAGGAGGCACTCCACCTCCACCCCCTGCGGACACCTCTTCTGCTGGGAGTGCATCACAGAGTGGTGCAACACCAAGGTCAGGATCGGGTCATGACTAGCACAAGTTACACCAGGATTATTTTCATCAACTGTTAGACTCAACGTCAGTATCTCTGTCCACCTTAATAATGGCAAGGGAGCAGTAGCAGGTGTTGCCTGTTCACTGGCTGAGCACAGATAACAGGATTTAAGGAGTGATTTGCTAGCAGACCCTCACATTTCTAGACATGTAAGCATGTTTCATAAGGACAGTACAGCCTCATTAGCTGTGCCAGTGTGTGGTACTCACCACACCTGACCTTGTGTGTGTGTAAATGCAACACCGTCTCATGTCTGTGTCTTACTTCACACAGGCCGAGTGTCCCCTGTGTCGGGAGAAGTTCCAGCCTCACAGACTGGTGTACCTGAGGAACTACAGCTAAAGCTACAGAGCCAGATAGCACACAAGTACAAAGGTGCACTGCTTGTGGACTGTACTGCTGTCTTGTGCAGGCAGGCTGCCCCACAGGAGTGTCTGAAGACATGAACGGTGTTTTCCAGAAGTCACACAGAGCTTTGTGCCAACACACTGACTTGTATAATCTTTTCTTGAATTAATTTTTTGAGTGACAATTACATTTTGGATTGTATCAGTAAAATTGTAAATATTACTTATAGTTTAATTAAACTTGACCAAATGCCTTCCTGAAGTCCTCATTTCATAAGATGTTGTACGATGATCTGTCCTTCACATTCAAACCTACAGGTAATTATCTTGAGAACTTGAGTAAAATCCACTAAGATTAGTTCACTGCTTGTGACAGCAAATGGTTGCATATAGCTGTTCAACCGTCACCCTGCTTCGCTGCCCTACAGAGGAAGAGAGCGGTAACTGTGAGCCAACGGTCTGAAGTTTTGAGCCTGAAAGTTACTCTTCACAACAGCCTGTCAGCGACGCTGATTAGAATCTGTTAGATAAGCACCTGCACTGTGCTGTATGACAATCTGTATGAACTAGTATCTTAACTTAATCTATAAGTTATAACTTGACATACACAATTTAAAGGTAGTTGAACCATATGAACTCTACCAATGTGTAGTGGGTTTTTTTTCTTTGGCAAAGTTGAGGGGTTGCTGATTTTTCTGTGGCAAAATAAGTGTCCAAATAAATTTTGTAGAGCAGTGCATTCAGTCCAGTAAACATGGCTTTGATAGAACCTGTATCTTAGTCACAACCTCAGTGTACAGTGCACACTTTGTTCTCAGAGAGGTTACTGTTAAAGGTGCCTGAGGTCAAGGAACCTAGATATGCCATTTTCTATCATACTGTGGATCCAGCCCTGAAGACGAGCTTGCTGTGAATTAGCCTAAGAAAGATGTCACAAATGAAAGAAAACCAGGACAACAGAGCTGGATTTAGGTGCATAATGAGGTTTAGGAGGAAGTCCAGCTATGTGAACATTACCTCAGGCTGCCGGCACATGTCAGATGAAACCTACTGTAGGTGATGATGATAATAGTGAAATCCACTGAGAGGAAGTATCCTGCTGGGTTCACTGTTGAAAGAGCAGAGGTGAACTGTAAGAAGAGACAATACACAATCTATGTATAAAATATTTAATAAGATGGAATTTTTCTCTGTGTGTTACCATTAGAATTTAGACTAAATAAATCTAATCAGATGAGAAGTCAGATTTGTGTTTGCCAAGCTGCCCACTGAAGAGTTTCAGTCTCCATCTGTCACTGTGTTTATTTCCCTCACTTTTTCAGGCTGAACCTGTATAGGTGGTGCTGACAGGAATCTGTTATCTTGCCTGTGCACTACACACGGGAAGTTGTTCCTAGGCTTGAAGCCCTGTTTCAGATTTTATACACTATTCTTTGAATCTAAATGCAGCTTCCTATAAAGCCCCTACCTGTAGAACTGTTGTGATTGCAGCATGTGTATGGCAGAGGTTTTGCTCTTTGAAAGGAAATTGAGACTATTTGATCAGGACTTGGTGTGAGACATCACAAGGAAGATGTCTCAGTCAGGTGCTGGGCCTCCACGTGCCACCAGAACAGCTTCAATGCACCTTGACAAGTCTCTGAGCTCTACTGGAGGGATGGACACCATCCTTCCAACAGATAATCCCTCAGGTGGTGTTTTGATGATAGTAGTTGAGACGCTGTCTAACATGTCGCTCCAACATCTCCCATAGCTGTTCAGCTGGGTTCAGATCTGGTGACTGTGAAGGCCACAGCACAAACCATTCAATGAGCCCTCTTGTCCAATGGACGGGGACACTGCCATTATGGATGTGAGCACTCATTTATTCAGGGGTTTCCTTTCATTTGTCACCATCTCTATCTCTTATACACAGGTGAGGAGTTAAAGACAGATGTAGCCTCCATTCTTTGTGCTCCAAGAATATCAACATCAATTTTAAGGAAAATCTGGCAACAGTTTTAAAGATTCTCTGTCATGGCCTTAATTCTTCATGAAGGAAATATTTTTGGCCTGATATTTCTGTGCCAAGCCAAAAGTCCCAGACACAAAAATCATGTTAAGGGGAGTGGGAACAACCATGGCACCTTCAGCTGTGGTCCTGTCGCAATTTAAAATCCATGGCCTACCACTGACTCAGGGCTGGGTCACGTTGGCAGCTGGCTAAGCAAAGCAGTCCAGGTCTGTTCCTGTTCAACTATCGTACATCTGTGGTAGTTATTGTAGCTCCTGTATTACAAGCCTATTCATTCATTCAAATGGATTTAGACAGTTCAGCAAATACACAAAGCAGGAGTGGAGAAAGACTTGTCTTAACAGACATTTGTTAATGCCTCTCTCTGGTGATACAGTATATGGTGCTGTCAACAAAATGCTGTAGTTTGTAATCATAGGCTTTTAAACTTCCCATAACACAGCAGTTTTAGAACAGGCTGCTGTCTGCCGTGTCCTGTGAGGCAGCTGTTAATCAGCGCAGCAGTAAGTGTGTTATATGGGAGGAACGGGAGGCGAGCAGACACATTACACCCTCTGGCTGTTGTGGACTTTAAGTGATCAATCTTTGTCACATCTGGATGAAATGTCTCCTGGCAGAGATCAGATGTGCTGTCACGTTTAGCTCAGGGCTGAGGTCAATAAATCTTTTGTTAACTTCATCACTTCCTATCATCTATAACATAGAAACTACTGCCAATGAAAACCACCACAAGATGGATTTGAATGTTCGCACACTAACATTATGATACAAACCTAAATATCAATCAAGAACCAGTCGATTATTGTTGGGTGTGTAATGCTTGTTAGAGAGACCGAGACTGGTGTCCCACATCCTGTCCATGACCGTGTGATTATTCCTTCAAGCTGCTGGCTTCTTTCGCAGAGTTAACATTAGGATAGGATGCCTGCTTCTTTGCATTTAAAGGAGGATCAGGCACCGCTCTGCTGAAAGTTACCAGATGCCCTTAAAAGGAGCATTGTCAGCAAAACATTAATGACTTTCAAGAGCTTTCTCACAGCTCAGACCAACTGCCAGCACTCAGAAGTGTTTACATCCAAACGTTCAGTCCCAACACACTCTAGTCTCTCTGCTGTTGACAAGCAGACAATTCACTTACACTGCTGTCATTTTGGATAATCAGGTTTCCCTCTCTGTGGAAAATGGGGCTCTGACGGTGGTAGTATGTGCTGGCAGGCAGGCAGTGATCCCCGAGCTCAGCATGTCTGTTAGAAACACTACTGTGTAGATGTCTGCTGCTCTCCCTCTTCTCTCTCTTCATCACGAACAGCTGGGCAGTTGACTTGGAAGATAGTCCATTGCACTCTGAAGTAATATGAAAATATGGAACTACAGAGCAGCAGCAGCAGCAGAGAAGAGGTGTGGATGTTGTTAGCTGCAGAATGACCTGCACTTAGTGGACAGGAAGAAGATGCATGCTGTAAAACACAGACACATCACAACAGACACCTGATTTTTAATGGTATGTCATTTAACAGGTGTACCTTAACTAAAAAGCAGATGACAGGTGCAGCCAGTGTTTGAACTGCTTTCTCTAGCTCCCTCTTCATTTGTTACCTGGTAGTTTTTGGCACTTACAACAGCTGAGTGTGAGAAGTGTCTCCTTGGAGAGACTGTCTGAAAATAAACATTTACCCTAGTTTAGAACAGGATCACCCAGTTGTCCCTTCTTCATTCCCCATAGTTGTGGTCTCGCCCGCTGCTTCTGATGTCACACCTGGCACCACCCAGGTCACATGAGGACGTCTGAGCCAAGAGGACTGTGAAATATGGCTGAAACCGGTGAAAACATGTATAAATGAGCCTAGAGTTCAGGTTTCTTTTCTTTTTTCCGCCACACGTCCATTTCCAGTGTCACTGAATTTCTGTGCTCAAAACATCAGTTGTTTCAAGAAATGTTATTTTATAAAGATTTAATTTGTTAGTAAGTAAAATTAAAAACTCCAAAAACCACGTGCAAGAAAGGGAACAATAAAGAAACCAGAATCAAACTGTCAACATTTTGTTAAAAAAAATACAAGGGAAGAGATGCAAGGTCAAAGTAAATAGGATTATTACAAGCAAAAGAAATATCATTTGTAAAAATTAGACAATTAAATCAAATTTATTTGAATCTAACTATTTATATAACCTTTTCAGATGTTTTACAGATAAAAGGAAGAAAGGAAAGGAAAAAAATATAAAGTAAAAAAATAAAAACATAAAATGCTTCAAAATGTATTATTCATTCTTTTTTTCTACCACTTAGTCCCTCAACGGGGCCACGGTCCATTGCCGATCCCGGCCAGCAATCGGGCGAAGGCGGGGTACACCCTGGACAGGTTGCCTATCCATCACAGGGCTAACACATAGACGAACAACCACACACGCACTCCTATGGGCAATTTAGAGACACCAATCAACCTAAGCTGCATGTCTTTGGACCGTGGGAGGAAGCCGGAGTACCCGGAGAGAACCCACGCAAGCATGGGGAGAACATGCAAACTCCACACAGAAAGGTCCCAGGTGGGGCCCAAACCCGGAACCTTCTCGCTATGAAGCAACAGTGCTAACCACTGCGCCACCGTGTTGCTGTCAAAATGTATCAATGAAATGGAATTAAATAAAAACTAGGTCAATTATACAAGGTAAAAAAATTTTTAAATATTGGCATAAAGTAACAATAACCACATTTTTAAATGATCAAAACAAATCAATCTCTTTTCTGTTGCCATTTTGGCAGGTCTCTCGTGCAAAATAGACACTGCATAAATTAAATCAAGTGGGGCCCCTCAGCAGGCCACAGGGCTGCTGGTTCCATCCCAGACTCGTCCTGTCCACAGGTAGAAGTGTCCCAGAGGAAAATGTTCAACCCCTAATGGTCACTGATAGGCCTTTCAGACAGATCTTGAGATAAGGATTATGAAACGAAGAGAAATAACTGATCTGAAATAAAGCCCTGCTTTACAGACTTACACACTGATCGCTCTTGTATAGAAGTTTCTTATGAACAACTGTAGCTTTTCTTGCCTAACTTTCAAACTTCCTCCATTATTAAATGCCTGAGCTGATAAAGTGACTGGCAAACTGGTGTGTGTGGAAATCACTAACATCGTCATACGTGCTGAGGCAACATAGAACGTCTGTTTCACAATACTGCCTGTCTAAACACTTTATTTTGCTTTAAGGTGTTCGAAGTGTACCGTGCTGTGACCAAGTGGAATGTCCCAGTCTTAACATTTAATCTGAATCAGATGGTTCCAGCTGATCCTTTGCCTTGGCTTTAACTTTTCTGTTCTATCACCATTGTTTGTGGTATTTTTGTAGCCAGGTTTTTATTTTGATTATTAAAAGCTCAGGTAGTGAGTGAAATCTTATTTAAAATGTTGCTGGAGCCATACAAACAGAGGATCAGGACCAGAGTTTGTCCTGCGAACACATAAACCAGTGTGGTGGTCCAGAAGGCAAACAGATACACAGTTTTGTCACAGTATGGCGCTGCAGCTGTGATGCGTGGTGCTGGCGGGGCATTCGGGCGCTCTCCATTTGTCTGATTGCTGATGTTGCTGACAGCCAAAGTTTGAAGGAGCGTCCTCAGAGTCTGGTTATTATTGATTATCCAGGTGTGGTTGAGATTAGGAAGGCTCTGGTTCTGGTTCTTCAAAGTGAGGCCCACCCTGTTGTCAGATGCAGTAGGAGTGTCGATGCTGTTGTTGACTCTGTTCAGGTCAGTGATGTTTTTGTTGTAGTTGGGTGGATATATAGAATAAACCTGGTAGCTACCTGGTGATGGAAGGAGACAAAATGACTAAATGGATTGCACAAAAAAAAAGTTTAGGAGTAGAGCATATCAACGAACTGGATCAGGATTTGTCCTCTGTTATTTTGGGGCACTAAAACCAAAAGTCTACAACATACATATTTACTTTGCTAAAAAGAAACTGATATGAAATGCACGTGGACATAGTGAACATGCATATTACTGTCTCACAGGTGGAGGAAACCTTTTTATTACAAAGCCACTATGATGATAATGATCACTGACCAAAGAGGAGCCAGATCAATCCCAGCAGGCCGAGGAGCCACAGAGTCCAGTTTGTCTTGCCCTCCGCCGCTGGACAGAGGAACTTTGGCAAAGCCAACATGGCCATCATCACCAAGGCCAATATCCCACACACCACCATATACACTGGGATAACTGGTGCTAACGGACACTCATACATGTACACTGTGCCTGTTTACAGAGACACCAAGGCATTGGAAAACTGTCAGTACCAATGTTTAAGTGGAGTTCAGTCATTTTTTTACTGGCTTTGGAAGTCTGAGTAAGTCATGTCATTGTGCTTGAATTTAATTTTATATTTAGCATGCACACGAAAGAACAAAAAAAACTATTTTAATATATTTTTAAAATGTATATGTAAAGCCAAAAATAAACTTTCATTGATAGATCATTTTCAGTGTAACACTGCCATAATGAAATTTATAGGAAGTTGATTTTAATTTTTACATTGGTAGATCAAATCAAACCAAACTTGAAAATGAATATGCAAATGGGACTTTTGGAAAATGAATGCATTCTTTTAGTTATAATGTTTGACATTTCCTAAAAGAGCAGGAGAAAACATTTTAAATCACAATACTACTGTGTACCAAGGTGCCTATAAACTCAACATTTTACAGCGTCTCCTTTATGAGCTGAAGAGACAGTTCAGTGGCTCACTTACCTAGAGTGATGAAGACAACTGGGAAAGTTGTTACAAGGACAACGGTGCATCCTAAAGCAGGAGATAGGGAGTTTCAAAGTCACTGATTAGAAAACTAGTTGTCATTATTATTTGCTTCATTTCTACAGTTACCTACCTGCAATCAAAACACTTGCACTAAGCAAGCTACATAAACATCCCCCCATGAAGTTCCTTGCCATGCTGACAACAGGCTACAGCTGCAGCTGTGAAACAGAAAGATCACCACAGGTAAACAGACCGGCCCTGCTGCCCACAGAGTCACCGGCTGACTGATTCAAACACGGGTAAGAGGATAAGGTAAATGTTAGGAAGGAAAGTGGTTTACCGTCTGCCTGGCACTGGGGACCGTTAAAAAAACTAAGTGTCAGGTTGAGACACTGGCCAAGTCAACATGTCTCAAGCTTCAGTGTGTCTTCAAGAAATCTACTGTATTGCAACACCTCAGGAGGGAACATGTCAGCAAGGAATTTCCTTTGTTGAGTCAATATCACAATATTACAGCAATAACACGGACAGATTATGAGAAAGGTGGCCCCTGGGCACAAACAGATTAATGGGCCCCCACCCCTTCTTACATAGGACCATCAGTCATTTTTTGTTTCTCTGTAGTTATTCTGTGTCCCTTTATGGTAGTTTGCATTTTATTTTGATAGTTCTGTCTCTTTGCAGTCCCTTTGTTTCTCTGTATGGTCATTTTTGTCTCTTTGTGGTTGGTTTATGCCCATCTGGGATGGTTGTGGTCATTTTATATCTCTGGGTGATCGTTTAGAGTCTTTTTGTGGTTGTTTTGCATTTGATTGCAGTCTTTCAACAGAGCTCTATGACTTTCAAAACAGAAATATTAATAGCCACTCCATACAGAGGCCCAGGCCCTCCTGACCTCTTCAGCCCCTGGGTCTGTGCCCAGTAGCCTCATCAGTAATCTATCCATTAGGGTCAGAGATAGTAATGAGGCAGAGCCATGAAAAGGTTCAGAAATTTAAAGTCAAATTCGCCAACACCAGACTGAGGGATTGAGAGGGAAAGAAGATAGTGGTAACAGATACAGTCTTCTGTTAGTGTCACCCATGCAGGCGGGGTTTGCCTTTTGGACTCGTAGTGGCCCTTGGAACTGGATTTGGCATGCCATTTATCACGAATCATTTGGCAGCCACGTTGGTCAGGTTTAGGCCTCTGTCGGGCCGAGAGGTTTGGCCGCACAGGACTTTTAATTAAACCCACCATTACTGATTGTTTTGGCCACTCATAAGCAGTGACACAAACTGTACACACATCAACTTATAAAGTTTATATGGCTACAACAATTTCACTCATTTGGCGCTGTGTTTGTGTTCACCTCCACCAACTCCTGAAAAAATATATTTGTCTTTTTAGCTGCTAAAAGCTCCACTAGGTTCACCAGCTGGTCTCTAACTGCAGCTGTCTGGAGCTCTTTTCAATTCAGCAAAGTTAATGTGAGCAGGTGTAGTGACATATTGATTAGTGCTACTTTATTCTAATAATGGTCATGCAATTATTATGTATTATTTTTGCATTCACTAACAGTCCAGTATCTCTTTGAAGGTCTCCGGAGGAGTCAGAGCAGCATGTCCCCTCAGCGGCACCTTCCACGTGAGTCCCAGCTGCAGAGTTGATGATTTAAAGCCATTATTAACATACAATATCTCCTGCACAGTTTTTTTATTGCATTTTTAGTGACTCGACATTGTCAACAAAAAAGGGTTCTGATCAGTAGTGCACATATGCAACACAGGCAACAAACCAGTAGCAAGTGAGGAAGGCCAGTGCTGTGTTACACTATGTGCACTGTCGTACAATACAGTAGCGTGTGTCAGCTCTATGAAGATCTGTGCTTTTGGTACTGTGCATGATTATTGCTATGACTGTGAACTATGTGCTGTCATGCTTTTTTTTAAGTGTTTTTATGTCTTTTGTGGTAATATTTTATATCGTCCCGGCTGTGTAATGCCCTTTAAAGTAATAAATAAAGTAGAAGAGGAAGCTATGCTGCCATCTGCTGGTTATTGGTCAATACTGTAAGAATATACAGTTTACCAAATATACAAGTTATAACTTTTTCTTTATTTTCTGATGGTTTGTGCTAATAATGGGCCATATAGTGCAGATTGCAACGTGCTGCTATTGTAAAAAAAGTTGTTGCTAAAATTTGTATTCTGACACAAGTCAGGTCGAACACTTTGTGTAACAGTGGTTCTGGTTATAGACTACTGAATCAGGAACATCAGTTTTTGCTGTTGCACAAAAACGACTACTGAGGAGTCTGTGCTGCTCAGTCCACTCCAGAAAATGCACTGTTAAAATAGCTCATGCACAGTGTCAGAAACACATGGGAAGGGCAACTGGTTCAAAAATAGTTTTAATAACCTTCTTTTTTACATTGTGTGTGTGTGTGTTTTAATATCTCTGACAGGGCACCAAGTCGCCCTCTGAGGTTTTTTTTTCTTTTATTTATTTTTTGATAAGCCTTCACTAAGTTTCTTACAATCAATATCTTAAATAGCCTAAACATGTTACCTGCTTATTGGTTTACATTTATAGAAGTATAAACGTTAGTCCTATTTTCTGATGCTTCAAATAAATTGTATGAATCGTTGGTTAGGATGTGGGCCACTGTGCTCCACATTGTTTCAAGAAATAATGAAATGTGTCGCTCCCCCTCACTTCGCCTCACTCCACTCCACTTCCTGGACTCTGTCCTCCAGGAGCCTAAAAACAGTCGAGTCATCTACATTTTATGCTACATGTGCGGATTCCGGTCTTCTGACAGCCGCATCCCGTGCTCATCAGTGGGAGCGCTGGGATCCTTTCACTTCCTCTTCCCGAGCCGCTGTAGTAGTAGCGGTCATATGATAAGTGGCGCACACAAACGGGGAGCGGACGCACTTAGCACGCTGCACAACGTCTTCGCTGTCGGATCTGTACGTGCACCCAAAGGGTAAGAGCATGGGCTATTTGCAGGTTTTGTCTGGGCTGAATTCTTCCTGTTGCTAAAAGGGAATTAATTGTACGTGATGAGCAGGACAGGCTGCATCTCCGATAGGCTACACGGTGCAATGTGTGACTGACAGCAGGGGAATCGTTCTCGGGTTTTAACAAGACCAAACGATAAGAAGTCAACAGCTTGTTCACTTTAAAACTAATATAAAGCTAACCTGCTCACAAGACTACTGATGCTTGATGGTTTAACATACGTCAAGTCAGCAGAAATAAGATGACACTTCCGGTTTGTGCGTGGAGCCTTAGGCATTAACGGCTGTCTTCTTTCATTAAACACAGAAATAATGTTCACACTTGTTAATACTTGGCAACAGACGCACTTATCCTAAAAGTAAAATAGCTATAGGTTTTTCTAAGTGAAGTTATGCGTGTCAAGTTAAAAGTAAAGTATCCTACTAGTGTACTCATCAAAACTAAAAATACACATTATGGAGATTGGCTCCTTTCATATTGCTATAGACTATTAAAATGTGGACTAGACCTGTACAATCAGTTATTAACACTTATCACTAAGTCATCAGATAGTGTACTTTAGTTCTTCACTGGGCATTCAGACTGATCCAGTAAAAATGCAACTCCCTGCTGTGTTTTAATGCAAGGGGCTGTGCTGGTCGGCGGGTTGCAGGGGAGTTCCTCTAGACATAAAGCTCTACTGGGCCACATTAGAGCTTCATGACCTTCCCTCGTTTAGCTCACTGTTCCTTCGTCATACTACTGCTACTGAAACTGAAACAACTACTGGTAAAGGTAAACATGTACGGACATTAATCTTTATGAAAATATTTATTTCAACATACATTCAGAACATCCTGAACGTATATTAGTAATTGAATAATCAACACAGCACACTGTCCACATGTCTCACTAACATTTCATAAAAACAAAACAAAACAACTAAATAGTGTTAAATGTCACATTATCAGAGAGTAACTGTTTCAATAAAGCCACTCAAGTTAATGTTTTAAATAAGATAGAGCCCTAGAAAAAGAAATTGAGGCAGATAAAAAGCTGCAACTCAGAACGCTGAGCTGGGGCACAGAAATCTACGCAGTGTGGCCATAACAGTCTTTACTGAGACAACAGTGACAGCCAAATAATCACAAGGGAATTCTACTACATACGGCTGAGGACGGCAGCAAGCTTTTTCCTATTTACTCTCTAACAAGGACACTTTTGTTGTAAATAATTTATCACATGTACCAGAACATCTTTTCCTTAAACTGCAAGTTTTGATTTACATTCCATAATATATTATGTATAAAGGAAACAAAGTGTCATGTGTCCATATCTTTTACCACAAACAGATTTTTTGAAAGGAAAGATGGCTGTGATGGTGAAACTGGAGAAGTTTCGAGAGCAGATTCGCACAGAACTGGACAACGTAGTGAACTTCTGGCTCAGATATTCTCATGACACTATACATGGGTACTGTAGTTACACTTGAATGCTCTTAAATGAAAATAATGTCAGCTCATGGCTTTGTAAAGCAATGCATTCAACTTGCATGCCAAGCAGTTGCGTACAGCTGTTTATACATTCATGCATCCTTGTGATGAACTTGAGTCTCTGCTTTCTGTTTCAGAGGCTTCTTTACTTGTATTGGGAGAGATGGAAAGGTTTATGATGAACTGAAGTACGTCTGGCTGCAGGGTAGACAGGTAACTCTCTGTACTGATACTGCCGGTGTAAATCAAAAATCTGAAATGTGATCATCACATGTACAGTACGTGACTATTCTAGCCTGTTTCTTTCACAGGTGTGGATGTATTGCCGCCTGTACCAAACCATGGATCGCTTCCACAAGCCTGAAATCCTTGAAGCAGCAAAAGCTGGTGTGTCCATATTGAGCTTGATCTGTTAAGTCCAAATCCACTGCAAAGAGCAGTTTGGATTCATTAAAAACTAGCAGTGGTTTTGGCAGCACCACTTTCAACCAGACCAAGATAAAGTAACACTTTCTTGCCTGATTGACATGACATTTACTGTTATGGATATTCATGGTCCCCAGAACATGAATCCTAATCTCCCTTCATTTGGCATCAGCATAAGGCCAAACTTTCCACTTTCCACTGACACGGCTAAAGGTGCATTCACCCCTGACCTGTTTGGTTCAGTTAAAATGGGAGAGATCAGTAAAGAACAGAATGACTTGCTGTCGATCACTAATGATTTCCCATGAGGTCACGTAGTGACACCAAAACTGTCCAGTTAGTGACTTACATGTCAATCCTATAGCCTCATGCTTACACTGCATGGACCTTGGGTGTATTTTCGCTTTAAAGGTCTAGATGTTGTGATGTCGTTGAACTTTTCAAAATGTCACAAATCTACTGGTAAACATTTTTAACAGAAACAGATGGTGCTGCACAGTCAGGTGATTAATGGCAACCATGACTGTTTGCTCTGCTAATTATCCTCAGGGTTGGGTGGAAACCTCAGATCATCATAGTGTCTCCTTTATAGGAGCTACAAAAAACAACTATGCTTTTTGCTTGTCCACCATTTATTTATGATGTTAGCTGGGAAGTTTTAAAAGGTTTAGCATAACACTAGCAAATCTGCACAGAGAAGCATAGGTTCTGTTGACTGTTGTTGTCATGTGAAAGATGTTTAAAAAAATGCCCACGATGTAGCTTTTCAGTCTTGCTGGCATGTCAGAATAAAGCCACAGCAAACATTTACATACGCCACCCTTCTTTGAATGAAAACAGCTTTAACAGATCAGTGCGACTAGATGAAGTGATGCTTGCATGTCTGAAAAGGGCTTTATATTGATGTCTAATCATAATGTTATAATGTTCTGTTTGCATCTTAGGAGGAGCATTCCTCAGAAAGTTTGCTCGTGTGTCCAGCAGCAGTGGTCAGTGGAAATGTGCCTTCTGCTTAACAAGAGACGGTAAAGCTGTTAAAATCCAGAGGACAATATTCAGTGAGTGTTTCTACATTATGGCCATGGATGAACTGAGCAGGGTCACTGGTGACAAGGACATGCAGGTATAGCTAAAACAATACATATCATAGTAATGCTAAAGTTATTTATACATCAACTGTACCACCTTTATGATCTTGATTCTCCTGACCTCTCCTCTAGTGCCCAGAGCCCCAGCTCTTGGTCCAGAGCAAGGTTTAATAAAAACTTGCCCTGGACCAATTTGTGCTACTTTCAGAAATAGAAACAGATGGTGAAGTTTAAAAAAAACAAAAAAAAAAACAACTAATAGAACCAGTTCCCTATTTTTGCAAATGTGGATTTTACTTCCCCAGAAATTTCTCTCATCTCATACTGACTTTTGTGACAGAGTGACAAACAACATAAAACTTTCTCTTACAATATAACTTTTGACATCATCAACCAAAATTCAGTACTCACTGTTAATAAACGTAGTGATATGTAGTTAACACATTTTGGGAGCCACAGTGAAGAAGGCCTTTATCTGAACATGTATCTGAATATACTGATAGTAAATTAAAAATATTAATTTTACTTTGTATATTTCATATGCTGTGGTCAATTTACAGTTGAATTTTAACGTGTTTTTTTCATTTTAGTTCAATTTAGGAGGCTGATTGGCTGATTATACTTTTACTGTAGCTTCTGTGTTCATTCATAAATGCACCTGTTGCACCATAAATGCAATGCAATGAGTTTGAAATATTTAAAAATGTGAGTCATAACAAAATGGAGTTACCCCATACAGGGACAAAACAATTTGACAACCGATTTTCATTCTGACAGTACAGATTAATGTGCGTGTTAACGCCATGACATCTGTACCGTACACCTGTTAATAATAAAAACAGGCTGCATGTGAAATGTCTGTCCAGGGCATAAATCACTTTCTGGTGATGGTTGTATATTGTTTTGGTAAAACGAAGGGTGGAGACGCACCAAGCCTACGGTCGGACGTCGGCCACCAGTGAGGATCTGTTGGGGCTCATCTTCCCGGTGTATCCTGCACTGTTGGCACAAGTCCGTCTTCGTCAGCGGCTTTTCAGCCAATTCAACATGTTGAATAAACATGGCATTAGTTTCGCAATGATAACGTGTGGAACCTGCGTCTACGGTCGGGCCTTGTTGACAAAAGAGAGACAGACCACTCCGATTGATTGTTGAACTTGGTGAGTCAATGTGTGAGAAGACACCGGTTCGGGAAAGCTCCATCAACCTGTTAGTGTAGTATCCATGATTTCATCCATTTGGTGTGGCTTCTCTTTGTTTCTCGACTCCGCAGCCTCCTTTCTTCTTCCACATATAAAAGACTAAGGCACTGTCATTTGCAGCTTCTTATCAAATATATTCTCGATTAGAAGCAGCTATAAACAGCAGCTGTTGTTGACGAGCGGTGCTTTGAGCGAAAGCATTTGCCAAGAATGTTTTCATTAATCACTTCCGTATTCTAGCTCTTCTTCTTTCCCTCTCTGAATACAGATACCGCCACCTGCTGGTAGGGGGAGTTGTTGCTGTCACGCATACGCAGAACATAGGTGCTAGTCCGCCGTTGGCTGTAGTCAGTGCAGTGTGTTCAAGTGTTACTTTTAGAACTCGGCTGGCTTAGACAAATCCGATATGGGACAACATGAAGGTCGGCCTTCCTCGCTGCTAGTTCTTCCACGTCGGATTAGTGTGTCTCTGCCCTAAGAGTCAATAGCCATACTAGCAACTCTGTGAACGTGTACTTTGAGACAGTGCATGCTGCAGCATGCTAACACGCTCATAATGACGATGGAAACGTGCTGATATAAGTAGTGTGTTGACATGGTCACCATCTCAGTTTATTGTATTGCTCATCTAAATTAAACACCTTGGGTTGATGGCATTAGTTTTACAATGACAAATTAGCTGTGTTAAGGTTCATCTGCATAGCACTGTAAATATCTGTCCCAAATGTTGCCCAGCCTTTAGTAGCTATTTCACTTGTGACCTGTTGGTGGTGCTACATGAAAAGTTCCCTCATGTCGTTCTTGCCCGTACCAAAGTTCATGGCAAACCAGTCAAACATTAAGATGATTAGAACAAAAAATGTCAAAACTATGGTGGCAACAGTTGCAAAGTCAGGGGACCCTCAAGTCATTAAGATTGAGATTTTCAGGCACTGTGAATATTATTATCCAATTTCATGGTTCTAAAGTACACGAGAAAATATGAACATAAAAGAAACATGAAAAATACATGCCTAAAATATGGAAGTTAATTGTTGCATTACAGAATCAGCACCAGTGTTTTTAAAATACATGGTTCAAGTGACTGGAGCACAGTGTGAATTAAGCAGGAGTGTACTAACTTGTTACATTACATTACTTTGTATTATGTAGAGACAGCTTATATGAGGCTTAGTAATACTGAAGGATTCATATGTGTGTAAACATGCCTGTACACGATCCTACATTACACCACATTATCACACTGCTGCTCTATTGTGTTACTAGCTGGAGGCTGAACAGATGATGGAGCAGTTGATCTACTGGGTTCAGGTGGACTCATCAGGTCTGGGCCGGCCCCAGCTTCCTGGAGACGTTCCCACCAACAGCATGGCAGTTCCCATGATGCTGTTGTGTCTGGTGCAACAGCTGACTGAAGGCCGGGGGCAGGAGGTGATTCAGAAGTACAGAGACCTGGGCAGCTGGTGTGTACAACAGATTCTACAGCACATCCAGGTAGGGACACAGAACAAAAACAAGACTGATACTTTGTGCTTTAAATGACTTGTTAGAGTTATAAAATGACAAGGGCAGTTTGTTACTATGCTTTATAAAGTGATAAGATTTGGGTCAGCTTGTTTAAAAGACTATTTCACAAAAAATGTATCTTTTGAGTGTCCAGTACTTCTTTGATGAAGTCTCACAGGGCTAGTTGGTGGTGAGCTACTGTAGCTGGTCCACAATTTCTTTTTTAGCTAGCTGAGTTGCTAATGAATTTACATGCCAAAGTTCACCAGATTTGTTTGGTCTCTACAAGCTGACCTACTGATTGTGGGGAATGTAATTTGCTTTGTATTTGTGCTGTTTAAAAATACAAGTGAATTTCAACGAGGACAAGAATCACAGTAAAAACAATATAAAACCATCAACAGAAAGTTGAACGCTCCTGCAGCGAGTCCACTGCTCCGTTATTCATTTGTATCCTCACTGTGTTCCAAACTGTTATAAATTCTCAGCAATAAAATGCCAAACTTGCTACTTCAGGCAGAGCTTCAGAGTTGCAGTAGCACAGCATGGACGTTCTGTGTTGTTGTTCTGGTTTTTATATTTCAGTTTACAGTTTAACTGTGATTCTTTATTAGCAGATATGTAAGTAGTTTAATATGATGATTATAAAATTTATTTTTTCATCTTCTGTAACTCACTCCAGAGAAATGGCACTGCTATTTTAGAAAATGTGTCACTGGATGGAGCAGAGCTGCCAGGTTGCCAGGGCCGCCTGCAGAACCCAGGTAAACACTCCACTGCCTACTGGCCAGACAGCAGCATGGGAACGCTGAGGTCAAACTCTTTCCTGTACTTAGTTACTTACCACAACACTTTTCTGTGCTCTATCCATTTGCTAACCTGTGCTGATTCAGGCCATGCACTGGAAGCAGGCTGGTTTCTGATTGACTACAGTGCAAAGCTGGGGGATGAGGAGCTCCAGAGGACTGCCATTAACAAGTTTGTGGAGCTTCCTTATCAGTACGGCTGGGATAAACAGCATGGTGGCCTCTTCTATTTCCTGGATGTGGATGGTCACTGCCCCACACAAGTAAATCAGTCAGCTACAGTGTGCACATGCACATCCTTTAGAAAGTGGATGCTGTTCCATTTTGTTTATAATAGTAGATATTGTTTGCATTTGGGTGATCACTAAGCTTTATAAAGTGCATGGGATCGGACTGTCTGACAGTGCTTGTGTGTCTGACCAGTTGGAGTGGAGTATGAAGCTGTGGTGGCCTCACTGTGAGGCTCTCATCGCCTTCCTGATGGCCTACAGTCAAACCAAGAAGCCAGAGTTGCTGGAGAGATTTTCGCAGGTTTATGAATACACTTTCAGCCATGTGAGTGTACACTGCCATCACTGTGCACCAGTTGGACAACTATACATTTTTCATTACTTACTGTGAGGTATAGTTGTACATTTTGGGAAATGCTCTTATTTTCTTTTTTTATGCGAGTGAGAATTTCAGATGAATCTCATACCTGAGCTCAGGACAGAGCTGGAGTCAGGACATGGTTAGTTTAGTTAAACATTAAGGAAGGGGAAACAGCAAAACTGTCCCTGTCCAACACCTTTAAAGATTGCAGGTTAACTTGTTGCATGTCATTAGTTTAACTATACACAAGCAGAAATGTAAAACTAATTGTTTGTGGTTTCAGAGAGACTTTAGTGCTGGGTCTGGTTTGTTGATGAACAACAGCCATGTGCAGTGACTGTGTGCAGCATCAGTCTTATTGTTACAGTACAGCTTGCTCTTTTGCACTAGGGGAACTTTATTGATTAATATCAATGAGATTTTACCTGGTTGAATAAAAGATAAATTAAATTATGATTCCTGACTTGGTGCTTCATATAACATCAGCCTTAAAGTGTGCATTAACTAAGATTTAGCACAAATTCAGATAAATCAAGTAAAGAATCATTTAGAAGTGTTTTCTCCCTGCTGTACTAACTCCCACCCCACTCCGCTTCCTTCTATGGCCAGTGTTGTTAAATCTGCACAGAGCTTCTTCTACACCCCCTCTGATCCAAGATTATAAGATGCGTTTTTCAAACCAGCATGGCTCATTTCAGAGATGTGCAGTGGAGGCTCCCTGTGCAGGTACAACCCAGGATGGGAGTGGAGCTGTTAGATCCAAGAGGCTGTGTAGCACAGAAAAAGAGTGTGACAAAGAACGAGGCAAAACCAGGGTTAACATCAGTTTGGCATGTCAGAGATGGAGAGCAGTAAAAGCATCCAAAACACTAATAACATTTGAGGCAGATGTGGCTTTCTTCCTGCTAGACATGCAAGTACTGTAGCTGGCTAATGTGTATAGGTCGACATCATTAGCAAGCTAATGTTAACATTTCAATTTTGTACTTTTGTATTGAATTATTCTGGTTGTAATTTGCAGTCATTCCAACTGACTGTAACCTTAGTGTTTTGATGTCCAGTTGGTGGAAAGTTGGATTCGTAAATGAAGTAATTTTGCAAATTTTTGCTCAGTTTTGGTCCAGTCTATGTCAGACATAGAGTAACACCGCAGTCCACGTAGCATTTAAGTGAGAAGTTATTAAAATTTACGCCATCAACACAACTAGAAAAACAAGGAGTTTGTTCAACTATCAATGGGTAACATGAAATTTCTCTTGTTTCACATATAACTCATGGTTATGTGTGGCAAGTATGTAAGATTGAACTCCATGCATTTCACTAAAACATCAATATCTTTATTTGACATTATGTCACAGCAATGCCACTGAAAGCCATGGGCTCTATGTTCCATGTACCTTAGTTCTGGAGCGGGTTATTACTGTTGCGCTACCTGACTCTCCAGCTGTCTTGACCACATATGATGTAGTATCAGAGCAGGAGGAGCAAAGAGGAATGGAGGGAGAAGAGGAGGGGACACTGCTTGAATTTGCTGGATTCTCACTTCACTGTTAATGGTAGAAAGTTGGAGGGAGAAGTTAGTTAATGCAGCTTTAAGAAATTGTAAGGCCTTGGTTTTGCTTTTCAGTGTTTCCAGTGTGTTTTACACACCAGAAGCTTATGCCAGTGAAATGGTGAAACCACTAAGTGTATATACCATCTAAACTAAACTAAATCTCTAAACATATGTCAGGCTCTGTTACTTTATGCATTTGATGTGTTGTTTTTTTATCCCATTAAGAAGAACTGAACTTGGCTTTATTAACATCCTGAGCAGGACCAAAATGTACATTCATCCTAAAATGGGTGGAGTATAGTGGAAAGAACAGCAGACCATGTGACAATGGCTACACCTTAAGTTTCAGGTCGTTATATTAAGTGGAAAAGGCCTAAATGAGGTTGTCGACTCTGTGCTCACTCTATCTGCCAACTCACACTATAGCTGGGAGAGTGGACACACTGTTCTTTGTCGGGAAATAACTCCCAACAACAAAGTTCTGTTTGTATACAGATTAACAGACTTGATGCAACATATCAATTCATTGACAGTGAGATTAATTATTATTGATTATTTGAATGGACTGTAGGTCTAATATACTGTATGTGTGTCTGATTCTGTGTAGTTTCCTGATGCTAAGAACGGTGAGTGGTATGGCTATTTGACACAAGAAGGGAAAGTGGCACTGGATTTTAAAGGTGGCCCCTTTAAAGGTAAGAACATAACTGAGACGTAGAACTAACTGCATGCCAAAGCAGCAGAAAAACATTTCAGTTGTCTCACCAATGTTGCAGGTTAGAGACTGTAGCCTACGTTAGCTGCCACTAGCATAACACACCTGGATGTCTAACTGGTCAGGGTCATGTTGTATTGTGGGTAATGTAAGCAACACTGTAGAGTATATCTGTGATCTAGGGCCCCAGGGCAGTGGCATCTGTTATTCAAGGTGTGAACCTAATTGATTTTTGACTCTGACGTCACGCTTCTGAGTCTAAGCACCACCTACTTTTAACACGTCGTAATTCAGATTTAAGCCAAACTATCAGGGTGAACTTCGGCCGTCCCTGGTAGGCTAGTGGTTAAGGTGCAGCGCTCTCACCGCTCCCCGGGTTTGAATCAGGGTTGCGTCAGGAAGGGCATCCGGCGTGAAACACGTGCCAAATATCAACATGATGATTCGCTGTGGCGACCTCTAAACGGGAAAAGCCGAAAGTGACTTTCTTTCTATCAGGGCGAACTTCCTGAAAATGAAAGTATGTTGGTGTGAAGCAGGTGTGGTTCCAAAAAGAAGATAATTATTTGCAGTATTAATTTAATTAAAGAAAAGACAGCTAATTCAGATACACACACTCACACAGTGGCCACTGCAGCCTATGTGCTTAGTCATCACACTGTTGAGACACAGTGGGGATGGAGCAGACAGTGAAATAAATCTGCTGGTGGAGAAACAAGAACTCCACCTATGTTAAAAAGAATTATTCCTTACATCTAACTAAACTACTTGGGGCAAACATGTTCCCGCTAGCCATCAGGACCATGAACTGAGGACCCAGTAAGTGCAGAACTCGGACACAGACTTCAGAGAAAAACAAGGATTTTAATCAGGGAGGGTAACAGAAGGTGTAAGGAGTAGTGGAGACGTTACGGCCGGTACGGGCGACTGGGAGCTGTGTCGACTGGACCACTCGGTGAGTAACCCGGGCAGAAGCAGCCACTAAATTGAGAACAGAGGAGGATGAGCAGACTAAGCAGATCAATACTGACTGTGTGGGAAATAATGATGGGAACCTGGATATGAAGCACGATGCTGTGCGGGGAGGCAGGAGGTGGTGAGATGACTGCTGGCCGGTGCGTGGATCCGCTGATGTGGGAAGCCATGGCCCGCCGCTTTTGAGAGTGCATCCCAGCTCAACGCCAGCGTGGAAGGGGCGTCTGGGAAGCTGAGTTGCCGGGGATGGTGTGTACTGTTCCACAGGATAATCCTTAAATAAAAGTTCAGATAGCGAAGAGACAGCAGAGTGCAAAAAAGCAAACAAAACCCAAGCTCCCCAAAACCATAGTTCAGTCCAATAACCCCCAAGAGATTTCCACTGGCACAAAACAAAAGGCCGCTTGTACGGCGATACAGAGTTCAGTTCAGATAAACGCAAAACACAGGGATCATCAAGACAAAAAAGAGAAAACGCAGGTTAGTTAGATCGGACTGATGATACCGGGACGTCGAAAGATCATCTGGTGACGAGGACACACCAACGCTCCCCTGAAGTACTGCTCCGCTAATTGGGAGCAGGTGTGCCTCGTCGCCGGGAGTGCACTCCGGCACCTGTCGGGGCGGAGCTGTTGATGGAACCAGGGCATGCGGACGAGGTGCTGGAAGCACACTCGGCCGTAACCATAACAGTACCCCGTTGCAGGTGGACCTGCACTGACGCTGCCACATGTGACGGCATCGTTGCAGGTGGACCTGCACTGACAGGACCGCTATATCTGCCTGCTCTGAGGGCAAGAGAGGGGGTTGGTAACCTAGGAATACCTCAAAGGGAGACAAACCGGATGCTGAACTCACCAGGAAATTATGTGCGTACTCGACCCATGCCAAGTGCCGGTTCCAGGATGAAGGGTCAGCAGAGGTGATGCATCGCAGGGTTTCCTCGAGTTCCTGGTTAAGGCGTTCCACCTGCCCGTTGGTTTGGGGGTGGAAGCCAGATGACAGGCTGACAGTAGCACCCAGGGCAGTGCAGAAGGCCTTCCACACCTGTGAAGTGAACTGAGATCCCCGGTCAGAAACAATGTCCTGGGGAATACCATGCAAACGAAAAACATGAGTTACTAAAAGTTCAGCAGTCTCTAGGGCGGTGGATAGTTTTGGCAGTGCAACAAAATGAGCCGCCTTAGAAAAACGGTCAATGATTGTTAAAATGACCATTTGGCCCTGAGACGGGGGAAGTCCCGTAATGAAGTCTATAGCTATGTGTGACCACGGACGGCTGGGGATTGGCAGGGGCCGTAATAAACCGGAGGGAGGCTGGTGTGAAGTTTTGGAGCGGGCACAAACAGGACAAGTGTAGCCCGTTGGCAAATACTGGGTTGGTACTTCTTACAAATGAATATGGCTTGTGTTGTTACAGCTACAGTTTTAATTGTATTTGTGTTACAGCTACAGCTTTAATTGTATCTGTGATGTAAATGCCAATTCCGGGAAAGCTGTATTGGTTACCACACTAGGTTCACCCTCTTTATGCAGTCATAGTAATGTGATTGGTCGAAGGAATCTGGCAATCTGTGTTACCTGCTGTGATTGGGGGGAGAGGGGTGTGTAAAAGAAGTTGCAAGGAGTTAGAGAAAACAGAGGGAGAGAAAAGAGGGAGAGAAAAAAGACTGGAAAAGAGATGGAGAAATTTGCCCAGGGCCGGGCACGGATGCTGTGGCAAAGTTTCGCCGGCGGAGCCAGCCGGTTTGCCGTGTGGGAGCTGTGAAGCGGAGACAGTAAACTCACTTTGAAGATAGTGAGCGGCGCTTAGCTTTAGCCGTGTTAGCCGGCTCTGGTTAGACCCCGAATGTGTTAGTGGGGCGAAATTTTACGTAGTGGTTTACCAAAGGAGGCTCTGAGAAAGAGTCATCTCTTTTGCATCGTACTCTGGGTTTAAATTAATAGTTAAAGTTTTCATGGTTCGGCGCACTCAATTGGTGAGGACTTCACTTGGCATCGCACTCCAATTGTGAGGAGGCCATATTGCATTGCACCCAATTGGGGAGGACATTGCATTGCATCGCACTCAAATTGTGAGGACGCCGCATTGCGTCGCACTCAAAACTTTGAAACAGGCCTGCAACGATAACCCCAAGAGTGTCGTGAGTAACTTTTAGGTGACTGAGTACTGTGTGTTTTGTTGAGACGGTGTTCTGGACATAATTAAACGGGGCGACTGGGACTGCCTAAGTGGTATTGTTAGTTACTAATTAACTCAGAGAGCACCTACGTTTCATTTAGTTGGTAGAAACCGATCTGGTAATCTTGGTTCTTTTTGTTATTGCCTTTATCATTCTTTATTGTACTCATTGGGTTTGTACTCACAAGAGGTCGTTTTAGTTATCTTGTTCTAAGAAATCCGGCCTAAGTCGTGTGTTCTTATTTAAGCCATCGCTGGGTCTATCTTCCTTCCTCAAGCACCATACTACGAGTCCTTTTTACTAGTTATAGGGGTTATCAATTTTAATTTTGATTAAACAAACCCAAGCACCCCTCATTCTAACTCGTCTAGTTGGTGCCCCTCCTAGGTAGAGTGAGAAGGGTGCTACACAAGCTTTAATATATTGCCGGACATCCTGATCTAAGGTGGGCCACCAGAAACGTTGTTTGAGCACTGCTAGTGTGCGGTTGATGCCTGGGTGACAGGAAAACCGAGATGTGTGGGCCCAGTTTAATACATCAGAGCGCACGGCGTCAGGTACATAAAGGCAACCGGGAGGACCTCCCCCAGGGTCTGGCTGTCCTGCTTGTGCTTTGGTGATCTTCTGCAGGATGTCCCAGGTAACAGCTGCGATAACACAGGATCTGGGTAATATGGTGTTATCTTTGTGACAGTCAGATGTGGGGCCAAATTGCCGTGACAGTGCATCAGGCTTTTGACTTTTGGAGCCAAGTCGGTAAGTGATAGTGAAGTTAAATCTATCAAAAAAAAGTGCCTCTTCGCCTGTTGTGCGTTGAGACGTTTAGCTGTTTGGAGATGAGCCAAGTTCTTATGGTCAGTCCATACGATGAATGGAACCGCAGCTCCTTCCAGGAGGTATCTCCACTCCTCTAGGGCGAGTTTTACGGCAAGTAGCTCCCTGTTACCAACATCATAATTTTGTTCAGCCGGGGCGAGTCGCCGAAAAAAGAAAGCACAAGGGTGAACAGTGTTATCGTGTTCAGATCTTTGACTGAGTACGGCTCCCACCCCAGTGTCTGATGCGTCCACCTCAACAATGAACTGGCGAGTGGGGTCCGGCTATGTGAGAATGGGAGCAGAGGTGAATCTGTCCTTGAGTTGTCGGAAGGCCATGTCAGCTTTAGTAGACCAGTTAAACCTGGAGGTGGTGGATGTCAGCTTGGTGAGCAGTGCTGCAAGGGTGCTATAATTTCTTATGAAACGCCTGTAAAAGTTAGCAAACCCAAGGAAACATTGTAGTTCCTTTCTGTTGGTGAGGACCGGCCACTCCGCAACAGCGCGGACCTTCCCTGGATCTGCTTTAATCATCCCCCGCTCAATTATGAAACCCAGGAAGCTCACCGTGCTTGCGTGAAACTCGCACTTCTCTGCTTTTACATAAAGCTGGTTCTCCAGGAGCTGCTGAAGCACCTGCCTGACATGTAGTGTGTGCTCTGTGGTGAATGAGGAAAAAATCAGAATGTCGTCGAGATAAACGAACACAAAACGGTTGAGGAAATCACGCAGTATGTCATTAACGAGGTTCTGAAAGACAGCCGGGGCATTAGTAAGCCCAAAGGGCATGACTAGGTACTCGAAATGTCCCAGCAGTGTCTTAAACACAGTTTTCTATTCATCCTCTTCACGTATGTGGACAAGGTGATAGGCATTACGAAGGTTGAGTTTGGTAAATATCGTGGCTCCCTGGAGGGAGTCGAATGCTGAGTTTAAGAGTGGAAGCGGGTATTTGTTTTTTACTGTGATGTTGTTAAGGCCACGGTAATCAACACAAGGCCTTAAGGACCCATCTTTTTTTCCCGACAAAAAAGAAGCCGGCCCCAAGCAGAGATGAAGAAGGTTGGATAAGCCCAGACTGTAAGGACTGGTGGATGTACTGCTCCATGGCTTCCCTCTCTGGTCTAGGCAGATTGTACAACCGGCTGGATGGAAGTGGGGCCCCAGGAAGGAGGTCGATGCTGCAGTCGTACGGACCCCCCCAAGGTCATGATAAGCTGGTGGAACCTGGGAGAGGTCCACCGGTTCCGGGACAGGATCGTGGTTGGTACCGGTGGTCGGAGGAACAGCGGACCAAAGACAATGAGCAGCGCAGTGCGAGCTCCATGCCAGCACGGTCCCAGCGGCCCAGTCGATGTGTGGGTTGTGACATGTGAGCCAGGTAAAACCTAAGACTAGAGGTGAGTGGGGGGCGTTGATGATATTGAAACTAATCTCTTCCTGGTGGTTTCCAGAGATGACAAGGAGAACAGGTAGAGTCCTATGCGTTATTTTTTGCCAGAAAGTGGCCATCTAAAGCAATTACCGGTTTGTCAAGTGGTTCAGCCGGTAGACCGAGCTGGTCTGCCAGATTACGGTCCATAAGACTATCGTCCGCCCCCGAGTCCACTAAGGCTGTCAGAGCAAGGGAATCTGAATTGAAACGGATAAGCGCGGGAAGACGGAGACAAGTTGAGGATATGCCAGGGACTTGACACTGGGCCACCAACCACCCTGGGTTTACTGGTGGCCGCGACCTTTTGGCCGTACCAGACAATGGGAAATGCGGTGCCCTGGCTGCCCACAGTATAGGCATATGTTAGCAGGCAGATGTCTAGCCCTCTCCTCTGCTGAGAGGGGGGTGCGGCCGAGCTGCATAGGCTCTTCATGGGGCGGTGACTGGTTCCCTGTAGGTACCGGTTTTTGACAACATACCGGATCTACAACTGACTGCCGCCGCAGGCGCAGCATGGAGGGGTGCCCTCGCTCTCGGCGTCGCTCCCGCAGTCAGTTATCGATACGGATAGCCAGCAAAACTAGGTCATCGAAACTGGCTGGTTCATCACGGGTGGCCAGCTCGTCTTTTAGCCCCTCGTTAAGCCCGTTTATAAATGCGGTGCTCAGGGCGGTGTTATTCCACCCCGTGTCGGCTGCTAGAATACGGAAATCAATAGCAAATTCAGCCGCACTGCGCGGTCCCTGGCGGAGGGCGAGCAGGCACCGCGCTGCATTACTGGCCTAGTCGGGGTGGTCGAACACTGCCCGCAATTCACCCTGAAATTGATCAGCGCTGAGAGGACCTGTCATACATGGCTTTCAGCAGTGCTGGGGGTCGGACCTGTTGCTAGGGAGAGCCTAATATAATCCTTTGATGATGATATGAAAGCATGATGGCTAGCTTGTTGTTCCCATTTATTGATGCCAGGTGTGATTTTATTGTAGACACATGCACATTGTAAAATAATATTGTCCAGTAAACAGCATGGGTGGTTCTGCTGTGGGAGGAAACAACGTGTCTAAAGTAGGCGGTGCTTAGACTCTGAAGTGTGATGTCAGAGTCATAAATCAATCAGGTTCACACCTTGAGTGACAGACGCTTCACACCATAACTCTACTGTGTTTCTCTTGTGTTCTTCAGGGTTCTTCCATGTGCCGCGCTGTCTGTACATGTGTGAGCGGATTCTGGATGATCTGCTGGCGAGCACGGCCTGAGCGCATGGACATGAATGTTGTAACAAAGGAATGTGAATTTGATTTTTGGCTGTGTTCACTAAATCAAACCACACTAATCAGGCTGTAAAGTAAAATTGCACAAATTTTCAAATTTGCATTGCTGTAAAGTTACTTGTGTCATCTCATCACAAGCATCCAGTCACTGAGCTCAGATGTGCTGGGAAGTGATATTGTAGCAATACTAGTGCCAGCAGTAAAACAGTAGTCTGCTTTTTACAGTGTATCTTCTTGCACCAGTGACAGTTTGTATTAACAGTAATGAAGGTTTTCCTGACTAAATCAAGTTTTTCTTACCCTGCACCCATGTGATGTCCCTGTAAGTCGCTAAAAAGACCATCTGGTGAATATTACAACTGTATTGTGAGTGTTCTTCCTGTAATGAAATTCGAGTTCACTGACTAAAATACCCAAAGTACAGGAGCCAGTCAACTAGGACACCTAAAACAACAGTCCTGCATCAGAGCCGATAGCCAGACATTTGGACTAACAATGACATCTACATGCAATTTTGATTTACTGCTTCACCTGGCTGAACGTCTTTGGACTGTAGAAGGAAGCCCACGCAGAAACTCCATCCTGGGCTGGAGGTCGATCCAGCCTGTTGTTGACCACTGAGGCACTGTCCCTCCCTCATCATACAAACTACAACATTAACACTAAAAACATGTCAAAATGTGCCTTCCACATGCACATAGAAGTGCTGAGCCGACAGTAACCCTTTAAAAAGCATGTATTTTGATGGCCTGTTCATTCCAGTTCATACAGCTAAAGCAATAACTCTGCTAAACTTTTAATCATCACAGTTGTGTTTATAACATGCTGGTGAACCATAATATATGTCAGAGAGACATTAAAGCTACAGTATTTTACTGTTAGTAATACAATTGGCATCTGCAGACTTATCAGCCAGTAAATGAATTATATACTGAAATAGTAGAGCAATAATTAAATTTCCATTGTGATGTTAACTAATTATTTAATTGAACTGATTTGTACTTGGAGGTAATGATACACAAGTTGCAGATGTGACCAGTTTTTGGAGGACATTCTATGAAGCCCATCGCCCCCTAAAGGTCGATTTGATTGAGTCAGTTAATAACTGAGCCATATGTGTTTAGTAGAGCAATTTAAAGCTGCAGCAGTTTGTTGTACAGACTGTGTGAGTACAGCCAGAAAATAAATCTATAACATTATCGTGATAAATAAACTCAAACTTCCTTCCTTCAGTCCAACTCTTGTGCTGTAAGACCTGACTGGTGCTTGTACTGGATTCACTGGGAGCAGTGGTCTTGAACCCACTCTGATAACAGAAATACAGACAAAGATATAATAGCCTGTTGAAACACATAGGTTTGGCTGAACAGCTAAAATTTATATTAAGGCAGGGTTTTATATATGAAAAAATAATTTTGTTAAAGGTTCTGGTTTTAAAATGAACTTTTCTTTCAAACAAAAGCCAATATTCTTTATAATTAGTGCAAATTAGTGCAAAATCACAAAGACCTATGCAGGAAATTTTCTTAGAAGTAATTAGGGGAATTAGGGACAATGCATAGCACGTCTTTCTGCAAACAAAATATTGTGAATGTATTGAAAATGTAGTAAGAACTGAATTATAGTAATATTAAGATGTTTAAAGGTCAAATACCCTTTAGTATGATGTAAAATAAATAAATTAAAATACAGTTAATTACAAATACAGTAATGAAATTGTATATTTCAAATTTGCATTGCAGACTCTGTCAAATTTTGAAGATACTCTATGTAGTAAATAATATTTATTATTCAGTAACGCATATTTTAAGTAAGCATGAAGTAGTTATAAGAACCCACATGAAGCTGCTTGCACATGGCCTTCTTTTACACATGAGCTGCCACATCTTTCTGCACAGGTACATGTCCCATATTCAGTACAGGCCAGAGCATTTTATTTATCAAAACAGGACAAATCCATATTTTAAGGGATAGGTGGCAGCTCTAATTTGGTGTCATGGGCATGCTGCAGGAGTTTGTCAGGGTGGACGGCTAAACAACCGATGAACCTGTTGGAGCAGCTTTCTGAACTGAGCAGGAATATCTTCAGTTCCATGGAGGTAAACCAAAGGGTTGAGAGCACTGTACCAGGGAGACTTAACTGGTGGTGATGGACA